CCACAAATACCAGGTGGCAAGTACCACTTTCGCATGTATGTGGTCTGCCGTGCAACTACTCGGGTAGCTTTAAACTATCGACCATACTGCACCAACAGCGATATTTCTAATAGGTTAGCGCATGTTGTGAACGGGGATGAGATCCAGGCGCTTCGAGAAGAGCTCGATGCAGTTTAACAAGTACGAAGACACGCTCTCGAAGTGGTGAGACCTTACTTCTCTTCTTAGCGAGTTATCAAAAAGGATAATTACTTCACAAGCGTTCAGCTGCTGCTCGATCTCCGGTTGAAAGGCTTGTATGGACGAGGCACCGCTCGTGGTGGGAGCAACCACTTCCCGAAGCACATTGTGCTGCAGAAGAAAGAATCGACCCGTGGTGATAATCAGCAGGCTGTCGCAATTGAACATCAAATGCTGGCTGCGTCTTGGTGTGATGGAAACATCGTGACGATGGTGACAAATGCTGACGCATCCTCAACTGCCGTTGCTACACGGCGCGTTGGCAGTGAGCTACGAGAATTTTCTGCTCCTACGTGCATCCTACAGTACAACCGGCACATGCAGGGAGTCGACCGGTTGGATCAATTTTGAGCCACATTTTCGTTGGCTGATGGGCACTCGTATAAGCGCTGGCACAAGGTGGTACTTGCGCTTGTAGACATGGCACGTACCAACGCGTATTTGACGCGGTGGTTGGCGGTTGATACGACTAGAGACCATGACCCCATCGAACGTTCCTAACTGAGCTGGTATCTGAGCTTATATCTGGAAAGTGACGAGAAGTTCCTAGTGATGGCTCAATGGCTTTTGGAAGCAGTGTTGTGAATGGTACCTCACAGCGAGACACAACTACCCCAACAGTGAACCCCGGCATCGCCATGGCAAGCCCGAGGAGCCCGCAAAAGATGTGTGAATCGTTGGCTTCAAAGCAAACATTTGCAGGAGAGGGAAGAAAACAACGGTAATGCATCGTATGCCGATAAGAGCTCAGGTTCCCCACGGAGGTGACCGACTATCGCCTAACGCATTGTGTTTGTCTTTGCCGGGTGGTACAATCTTACATGGAAACGATTTGGACATGCCCGCAGAGGACGTGGTCATGCTGGGACAAGTACCATCGGTACTACTTGCCCCAAGGCTTATTCTCAGCTAACGGCAATATTCGAAGATCATCTAGTCTCGCCAAACTGTAAAAGCAGCACCAGCAAAGCGGTCGTGCAGCCTCTGCTGAAACAGGTCGTAGCGCACCAGGTTATAACCCGGTGGCCAGAACGATAGTGATGTAAGCCAATCTTCTTGCTCACGTGCATACCCATATTCCAATTTTTTACTTAAAGGTGCATTTTTCTTGTTTTAAGTATACATCTTCGGTGAAGAACTTTTTCGAGCACGCGAACGTCACGAGGACGGCTAGCACCACGACAGCGACCTACATGATCGCACCATCAGGACGGAGAAAACCACGAGCACAGGAGGTACCACGACGGCGTATACCACGAGCACAGTCAGCACCACGGCGGCAAATACAGGAGCACAGTCACCACGACGGGGAACACCACGAAAACAGCCAGCGTCAGCATGATGTCGGGCACAACTTGGCCAGCCAGCTCCACCAAGGAGTGGGAATTCTACGATGGTAGCAACAGCGAGCCACATCACGAAGGACACTAGGCCCAACAGACCAGTCCGCTCCACCCAACGACGCACCGCAGGTGGACAGCCAACACAGTGTTGGAAAAACCACTGGTTGCAAAAACCGGAACGACCAATGCACCAGGTGTTTTGGTTCTACAACCAGGTTTTTCATGGTTCTTTGGTTTTATGTGAATCTGGTGTGAATGGTTGAAAGCTCAAAAGAGAAGAATATCGCTCCAGACAAACGGAGTGTAAGTTTGGCTTTGCTTCTTGTGATGTAGAGCTGTACAAGGAGGGACCACCAGGCGGAAGATCCGTCAATCCCTTCGCTGCTGAAGTGGGGCTGAAGCTGCCATCATTCGTCGGGA